GGATACGCCCAGAGTCACGGAACGGATTAAGTTCGTATCCCGAGGTACCACTGTATTTTGTCTGTTCCACTCTGGTAGCTTTTTCACAGGCCAGAGTTAATGCTATGTCATTTGAATCTGGAAGACTATGAGGATTCTTTGCTTTCCAAGGACTGGACACACCACAGCGTAGCAAAGAAGGCAGAAATTATCTTGCAGAATAACATAATTATATTTGTCTTCTAGAGGCAGTTTTCCATATCTCACTGCATGATCCCAGAGATCGATCTTGATGTTCTACACTAAAACATCCCATTAGGTGGCCAGATGAGGAAAATGTTAGCAAACATTTAAGAAGGTTCTTAAATTTTGCTCAGTGGCAATTGCTGCAAGGATGACTTAGGTCTAATGCTGGAATTGTTAGCTCAATTTTACTGTATTTTAGAGGTACTGTTATTAACTAGTCTAACAATGTTACGCTTTGTTTATTTGCATCATATAATAGTTTAGATCTTTGGCCATAAATAAATCAACTAATTATTTGCTTCCCAATTCCACCCCAAGAGGTGATCAAAGCTGTAAGCTAACTCAGTCATGTGGTGAATGAACAAGAAGCTTTCCTCCTTGATAGATATTTAAAAATGAATCTGTTAACATTTGTATCCTGTACCTTTGGCCTCAAATTCCTAGGGCAGCAAAAGATAGTAAAATTCACAAATCACTAGCAGTACTTATAAATAATAACTAGAGCAAGGAACAAATGTATGTCATAGGCCTCCTATGCAGCTGTCTGATTCTCCTTGGATTATAAATTGTGCTAAAGGTTCTCAGTCACTGGAGGTTGAGCCAGCAGGAAAAGGTTAATTCCATTTCTTCTAGCTAGAAAGTAGGGCTTAAAACTTCTTTGTATTCTATGGAAGGGCCCTCCTTCAGTCTTATCTTCCAGAGAAAAGCAATAACTTCTCTGTTAGTTCCACTCTCAAAATTTAAAAGCATGTCTAAAAGCAAGCTGATCAGAGCACTGATAAGGAGCAGCAGACCAGAGGGCCTTGTGGTGCCCTCCTAATTATTTTTTTCCCTTTTGAATCTGGATTGTTGCACAGCCATACAATTTATTTTAATTATTACAATTTTTAAAGCTTCTGATCGGTTCCTGGAACAAATTACTCAGAGTGCATATTTTCCCCAGCCAGCAAATATGCATGTTGGCTTCAACAGCATCTTTTCCAGTTAGCATGACTGCTGGCTGTGGGTGGAGCTATAGGAAACAGGTTTTGAGGCACCACCAACGTATGACACATTCAGACCTCTTCCATACCCCAGTGCCCACTTTCCTATCTTCATTTTACTTTACTTCCTGTTTCTTTCTAAACTGGGAAGTTCTACTACACCAGTGCTTCTTAAACTTGGCAATTTTAAGATGTTTGGACTTCAACTCCCAGAATTCCCTATCCAACCAGCTGGGGAATTCTGCAGCTGGGGAATTCTGGGAGTTGAAATCCACACATCTTAATGTTGCCAAATTTGAGAAACACTGTACGGGTAGTTCCCAGTTTAAGAACGAGTTCTGTTCCCACGGTCTGTCCTTAAGTCAAATTTGTATGTAAGCCAGAACAATATTATTGTATAATACTGTGTAAGTAGTATTGTGTAATGAACTTGCATCACTGTGTATTGAACACAAATTTTGCTACAATAGGCTCCGTTCTTAACTATGGGTCGATCTTAAACCAGGCATTCTTAACCCAGGGACTACCTGTACAGTACTGCACTCTTCTGATACCCAGCAACAAAGCTGCTTAATATTGTTGGGGGAGGGGGATGTTGGGCAGAGCACTTCTCCAAGCTCTGGATAAAATACTGCTTTTATAACACCTACTTTGTGGTAAACTAGATCTGCTGTGTACCTGTCTTAATCTGTTTTCAAGGCCACTCTGTCCACTAGGCTGTGTTGCTACTTGAAATTCCAAATACAAAGCATGACCTAGAACATTTAGTACATGTACCAAATTGTATGTAGCCAGACTATGCCCCCCATTTCATGATTTCCAGGAAACAGCATACAGGACAACTGCTTGAACATTTGTTTTGATTCTCAGGCAAGTGATGCAAAACTTTGCTGTTGTGTAATAAGGATTGTTTGCACACAGGCCTCCAATCTTACTGCAACATCAGCACATTTTACAGTACCAAAGGTTAAGTTGAGTAAAGGTGAACAGGCGCTAAACTTAAGTGTACAAATTCTGTAGCCTCACAATAATTTTGATGATTATCATTTTCTTAACGTGACTATCAAGGGCTATGCATTCAATCACAACTTTAATAATTTAAATAATAATGTACTCTTCTAGGAGAGTTGAAAGCTTACACTCGATTTTGTAACTATCCCTGTGCCCAGATTAAAAAAAGGGAGGGGCTCCTTTTGTGGAGCAAAGAAACATAGTTTAGTAGAGATAGATCTTTCGTTCGAAAGTTTAAAGATAAAATCACAAGTCCTATACATGTTGGAGGACTCTGAACAGGGCTAATGCAGTTTCACTGAGGCGTTTTGAGTGTACAGTAATTTAAAAGTTTTGTGTAAAGTACTGACGGCTTGGAGTAATCCAGCATTAAGTAGCGAAACCACTCTTCACAAATTATATTTGTAGACGCACATCGGGGCCATCCTTCCCAGCCTAGATGGGTTGGATTACAACTCCCATCATCTTCGACAGTATAATGGAGCTTGTATTGGCATATCTGGAGGGCAACCGGCTAGGAAAAAGCTAACCTAATATAACGCACCGTAAAAAAAAGTGTCTAAGTATATTATCATAACACGTGGGCAACAACCACGTGTTGGGGACACGCTGTGCCTTTCAAGGCAGACAACGGAAGACTGGAGAATCTGAAACTCTCCTTGACTTCTCGCCCTTAGCGCTTGCTCATCCCCACTTAAGCGAAGAGAGTCCGTAGTTCCCGGCTGAAACTCGCTCGCTTTCTGTTTTGCTTCTCTACAACCCAGCCAACGGCGCCCCAAGGGGCCGGCGGAGGCGCGTGCATAGGCGCGCGCGTGCGGGAAGGCTCGCCCCTGGAGCAAAGGGAGGGGCGACTGCGCGGGCTCCGTCCGCCTCGCGGGCAGCGGCAGCGGACGCCCGATTTCTGTGGGGGCGGGGCGCGCCACTCAGAAGCTGAACGGGCGCGTCAGAATGAAGCAGGGGGCGTGGCTCCGCGGAGGGGAAAGGGGAAGGCGCGCGCTGTCGCTCGCTCCCTTTCAAGGTGACAGCGCCGGACTGCATGGAGGGGGGGGAAGGCGGGACATGCACGCATGCGCGCTCAGGGGCTCGCGGTGTCTGCCGGAGCCGGTAATGGGATTCCGCTGCGGGGAAGTGGTCGGGCGGGATTCGAGGGCTGCCCGGGAGTCGGGAGGCTGTGGCGGGGGCGGGGGGGGGGGGGAAGGCGGGACATGCACGCATGCGCGCTCAGGGGCTCGCGGTGTCTGCCGGAGCCGGTAATGGGATTCCGCTGCGGGTAAGTGGTCGGGCGGGATTCGAGGGCTGCCCGGGAGTCGGGAGGCTGTGGCGGGGCCGCGGGAGAGGTAGAAGGCTCGCAGCCCTGCCCTGGCGGCTTTCCTGCTCTGGACGGGAGAAGGAGAAGCTGGATGGGCATCTCCTTTCTCCCCTCCGGACCCTGAGGCGGCTGACGCCAAGGGCATCGCGCCGTTAGTGACCGCGCGCTCGCTCTTCCCCTTCCACGCCGACTGCCTCGGGGGGAACACGCGAGCGTGCCCAGGCGGACTCATAAACCGTCAGCCTCTCCCCACCTCAGATGTGCCGGACTCCAACTCCCATGGGTCCCTGCGGTGGGCTTGGAATTGTGGGAGTCGAAGTCCGGCACGCGTGGCCTGGCTCGGCTCTTGGGGGAAGCGGGCAACCGCTCGCCAGAGCGTTCGGGCAGATTTCAACCCCTCAGTTAATTGAGAAGGATTAGCTTCTGCCTCTGTGGTAGAAACAAGCCTTTCTCTGGATGTTGGACTCCACTACCACGTCCTTAGTTCTGGTTTCATGATGTGTGTGTGTGTATCGCAGGCGCCTGGTAACGTAAACAGTTTGTAATTTATGCAGTCTTTCGTTTAGGGTTGGCTTATATGTGTATTAGGTGGCATAGTTATGCTAAAGCATTAGCGAGTGAAACAATATAAGAATATAAGTAGGGTGATTTTAATTTTTTGTTATATCTGTCTGAGGATACCTTCTCCTTGCAAAACATGTGCCTTGTTCCGCAGCTGCAGCTACCCACCCCGCCCCTGCTCAAGAAGTCCTCGGTATATTTTCTTAGAAGCTGCTCCTGGGTTAAATTGGAGCTAATTTCTGGGCCTGTGTGCATGGTGGCCACAAGTCTGTTATGATTCTGCCTTTTTGTAAATCAGTGTTTGGTTTTTGAAAATTTCTTCAGGTGTAGAAAAATTCACCAAATAATTTTTCAGTCTTTCTGCTTAAGAAGCCAAGTGTTCTTCAAGTAACACCCTTTGTTGCTTTATTTTCATAACAACTTGCCAATTTTACATTTGTGATTTTAAAAATTATGCTTTATATTGTGAGTCAAAGACTCAGCTTATCATGTAAACATTTCAATCTGGTCCACAGTTTCTCTTGAGGGGAAAAAATGCTGTAGAATTTTTGAGTACAGTATGTGTAAGAATACATGACTATATGGGGATATGATTCCTTGACATAGGAATATTTTCTTATATAATTGTTGCCATTTTGCTGTTTTAATCTTATTTACATATAGTAGGATTATATTCAGACTCAGTTGATGATTGGAATGTGCATAAGCCTAATAAAATAAATAAAAATAAATCAATAAATATCTGTCTTTGAAAGGAAAGATGATACCTACTTTTCCTTGGGGAAACCACTAATATGAAACCTGTGAGTTAAGTACAACTCAGACATTTAAATTATCTTCTGACATTGAGGAGCATACTATGTTGACTTCTGCATTGTAACTCTTGGTAGCTGTCCATTGTTGCTGCTTATTCCTGAGAGCAGTAATTTTTAAACTGTTGTTTTGTGTCATTCCTTAATTAGTAGTTCATTGGAATGTAAATATTTTTCCAAGAATAAGGGCAAAGGCCAATGGTTTGTCTGACTTGGTCCTTTGGAAGTGAAGTAGTACAAAAAGGAATGAGAGTGGTGGAAAGAGATCAAGGTAATATAGAACCAAGAAAAGTAAGCAAAATGTAATAAGATTAAATAGGTAGTATTCTCAATTCTGACCTACTTGAGGCAAGTTGAGGGATTTGAAAAAGTTGATAACCTTCTTGGAATTGCCTCTTTAATGAGATTCTTGTTGAGTGGTATAATGTAGCAAAGAGCTGTTCAGAAGCACTGCGAGTAAGGAGTGAGTCACTTGATGTGCTTGTTTTATTTATTTCAGGGCATTACTAAATTATTAAAGTACAGCAGTTACATAGTGCATGAGTCACTGCAGAATATGTCCTTAACTAATATGAAAAGTTTCATCCAAGCTATGTGGAAATAGAAGTTTTTCTTTTAACAGGCATACAGTCTCCATGTGAAGATACTGTTCTATATATTTCTGAATTTCTTTAACGTTCTTGGCATTTCTTCCCTGCATGTTTTTCTCCCCATTCTTGTTTCATAATTTTAAAAGAATTCAAATGCTGTTCAACAGTATTTTTATGTCACCTGGTATCTTTATAAGCAGGGAATATCATCACCTTCATTTTGTTACTGTGGTTTATGTTTTTTCTCTTTATGGGAATGAATGCAAAACTATATTTTCAATTTCATCCAGCAGAATATTGCTGCTCTTTTCTTTTCCATCTTGGGCATAATTATTAATAGATGGTGAAGCAAAGCACAAGTTAGACCAAAGGTAGAGGTTCATCTGTAGAGTAGGGAGAACACATCTTTCCTCAGTGCAAGAAATCTGGCGGTATACCATTTTAAAAGACAAAAAAAATGAGCATGTGCTTTTTTTTTTTTACCAGTCTCTTACTAAAAGAGTGGAATTCCACACAGCTGTGTTTACTTCTTGGATGAGTACCTCCTAGACTAAAATTAGGAATTGGCTGACATAGCATAAGTTGAACCAGAAGAGTGCTTCTATATGAGGTATTCTTTCAGCATGAATGTATACATATTTGTAATAGGAGTTAAGAATACTCTATAGTATACTGGCTAGGCACTGGAGGAGCATTGCCATTAGAGAATATATCTGCTATCTGTAAATCCACTTCCCAATATGGGTATGTGTTGAAGATATTCCATCATGGTTTATATCTCACCTCTGCTCACAGTTCTGTTTTCAAGGCAGTCAGTACAAATGGGGCTTCTTCAACAATTGTAGCATTGGATGTTTTGAAAATAGAGTCTTATAATATTAATCAGAGTAGACAAAGTTTCTGGAGTGCCAGTTTAGTCTAGTGGTTAAGGCACCAGGCTAGAAAGCAGGAAACTGAATTCTAATGCTACTTTAGACGTGAAAGCCAGCTGGGTGACTTTGGGCCAGTCGCTCTCTCTCAGCCCAATTCACCTCACAGGGTTGCTGTTGTGCAGAAAATAGGAGGAAAGAGTATTAGGAATGTTCACCACTTTGAGTTATTTATAAAAATAATAAAGGCAGGATTAAAAAATCTAAAAAAAATTGCAGCCATTTAATCTGCTGCAATTGCCAGTGTCTTTTCTGCATCCCTTTATTCACACTTGTTTCTGGAACAGCCTAAATTTGTCTAACAGATGTTTGTTCTTGACACTTACTGTGTCAAATATTAGATTATTGAGTAGATTCTTTTTTTAAAATTAAATGTCAGTATTATACATTGGTGTAAAACCATGCACTTTTTTTTTTTAGGTATACCAATATGCCTGGATCTCTTCCTGTGAATGCTGAAGCCTGTTGGCCAAAAGATGTGGGAATTGTTGCTTTGGAGATCTATTTTCCTTCCCAGTATGTTGACCAGGCAGAGTTAGAGAAATTCGATGGAGTGGATGGAGGAAAATACACCATTGGCTTGGGACAATCTAAGATGGGCTTCTGCTCTGATAGAGAGGATATCAATTCACTCTGCCTCACTGCAGTCCAGAAGCTTATGGAGCGGAACAGTCTGTCCTACAATTGTATTGGAAGACTTGAAGTTGGAACGGAAACGATCATTGACAAATCCAAATCTGTAAAGACAGTCCTGATGCAGCTCTTTGAAGAATCTGGTAACACAGATGTAGAAGGCATTGACACAACAAATGCGTGCTATGGAGGCACAGCTGCACTCTTCAATGCCATTAACTGGGTGGAATCTAGTTCCTGGGATGGTAAGTTTGATAATCTTGGGCAACCAAAACCCTTGAAAAACTTGAAAAAGGAGTCAACAAGGATGCAGTTTCCAAAGGCCTCCATAAAAGCATCTTGGTGGTTATCACCTATTCAGATCAAGACACTGACAGAGTTTTCCTGATACGTATCTCAGCTATTGCCTCTTATGCACAACTTGTTAGGAAAGGAATGTTATAAAAATCCAGAGCAATAAAGCATTGCCAAATCCTCTGATGTTGTTTCCATTGCAGAGGACTGTTAAAGAAGTGGTTGCCTAGGCTTTAATTATTATCACTATGAATCTATGGGAGAAGCTAGGGTGATGGCCCTTCAGGTTCTAGTCAGGTTTAAGTTATCTCATCAAAATAGGTGCTGATTACAACACTATACTAAGTAGGATGTTGACACTCTGAGAGATCAGAGACAATCTGGGTGAGGGCAGAGATTTGTAACCTGATAAGAGATTTGGATCCTGTTGTGAGCCTCCCAGAGTTGCTTAAGATGGGCAGCCATATAAATCTTTTAAATAAAATAAATGAGGCATGAACAATGTTATAATCTGGTAAAAGATAATTTTGTTAGTGATGGTTCCATCTGTAAAATGGGATAAATTCTGATTGTCAAATCACGCTGACTTCAGTGGGTTTTATAGCAGCCAGTTCTTGCTGCACTGTGTTCACTGTATGCATGGTAAATTTTTCAAGAGAAAACTCTTAGTGTCAGTAAATGTACCTTAGCAACTAATAGGTTTATGATGGCATAGGCCATCCTTCTTAAGTTGTAAGATAAGATTTTTCAGGAATTACATTCTCTATGAAATAGAGCTGATGTCCAAACTAAACCTCATAGTTATGTATTAGTGCTAAATTTACATATAGCTCTCATTAACTGTAGCAACTAGGAAAATAGATGTGCGTTCTAAAAACTCATGTGAAGTTTGGCTGTACAGCTGGGTTTAAATCTTTGTGTTCCTCAGGCTCCCATAAGAAATCCAGCATCTCCTTAAGCTATTTCCCTATGAACATTTTCTTTTCATCCTGCAAGCTCTGTGGCAACTGATTTAGTTATACCTTTCTCTGTGCTACTTCTTCTCTAGTCACACAAATGCCACTTAGAAATGCTCTCACTTGTGATCCTCATTGACATGCCAATTTGTGTAACAGGATATGTGTCAACACAAACAACATAATCTGAAGTTCTTAATAGGATTTTAAATGCTCAATGTACTAATGAATGGTTGCAGCTAATTAAAATTATCAGTAGGCAGATAGCTGAAGCTTAAAAGTAACTTTGGATGGGGTTGTTTCTCTTTGCGTAAGGGTTGCCACAGCCTGACATTTCTTGTAGTCTTGATGCAGTCCATTCACAGCCTGTATTTGTATTGTTTCAGGGCGCTATGCACTTGTTGTTGCTGGAGACATAGCTGTGTATGCCACTGGAAATGCCAGACCAACTGGAGGGGCTGGTGCTGTTGCTATGCTTGTGGGTCCAAATGCACCCCTCATTTTTGAACGAGGTTAGTGTTCTGTTACCACTTACTGTAAAGGAAGTACTGCTTATAGAGCTAGTTTTCACATTCATGGCCAAATTCACACAACATACTTAGCCAAGTCACAGCTCTAGTGGCTGCGCTCACAAATTTGCTTAGTTTAACTTTCAGCACATGAGAATATATGTAGCTCATGGTTGAACTGTGGAGTCCTTGGTGCTCTCTGAGCTTGCTTCTTTGCTTGCAGACATTTCATTGCCCAACTAGGTAACATCATCAGTGCCAGTGATGTTGTTACCTAGTTGGGTAATGAAATGTCTGCAAGCAAACACCAAGCTGAGAGAGTACCAAGGACTCCATAGTTCAACTATGATCATGGTTTTTTTGGATAGCTTAGCCTGATGTGCAAATTCAGGGCATTTGTTTGGGTCTCTTTCTCATGGCTGAGTTACGGTGCCTAAAGTTCTTGAGCCAGCATGTCAAATATCATTTGCTGATAGGAAAATATCTACTAGCCATTCTCTTTCAGTGGGATACTGCTGCGGTTAAAGAATCAGGGAGCTTTGAGAAATGGCTAGACCAGCAGGTTTAGCCATCTATCAAAACTTGCTCAGGCTTAGTACAAATGTTTTTCCCAGGTATGTTTAAAGGAAACTTGAACATCAGCTAATTGTCGTTCACCCTTTGGAATGGGCTTATGGCTACTGTGGAATTTCCAATAAAAGCCTGAAAGCACAGGCTCAAGCACTTCTGCCAAACCAGAATTGATCATCAAGTTATTCCAGAAGAGCAGTAAATGCATCTTTAAAAACAGCTCTTACCACTACCATCACTGTTCAGCCATTATTCAGGCTGATCCAAGCCTTCAAGGCAGAATTTAACTTGGAAAGTTAGTGTGCATGGGGAAAAAATAAGTTTGAAAGGTCTGGTCTTGCCCACTGCAGAATGGCTTTAGAAAACAGTGTCCAGGGGCCAGAAGGGAGTTGACATGTGTACTCCAGCCTAAAGTAGCTAAGAGATGCTGGGCTGAACACACCTCTAAGGGTCACATGACTAGCTGGCTGAATGGTTGCCGAAGAATATCAGGTTGTACCCACAGAAGAACTAATATCGTTTGTTTCTTGCTAAAGGGGAAAACATTGTTTTAAACACTGGAACAACTAAGGCCAACTTTAAACAACCTCAGGGATAGGTTAGGGATGAAATAAAGGCAATGTTATGAGGGCACGGCAGAAAAGATAGAGGTTGCTAGAGCATGCTTGTGCCCTGATTAGGTAGGTACAAGTGGGGAAAGACTCTTGTTTATAGCTCACTGTATTGTAAAAACCCAGAACATAGGTTTAGTTAGTCACCACATCAAGTGAATTATGTAAAGAAGTGTTTGCCTGCTCTGTTTACTTTGGCTTTTTACATTTTTAAAACATCACACTAATAAACCTGGAGTAATTGCTTTTTTTATACCTGTTTATAGTACAGTCATAAGCAATGTTCTTGTTCCAAGAATGGTAGCCAGGATGTTAAATATATTCATTTTTCCATTGATCAGGCAAATGGATTGCTTGTGTGAGTATACAAGTGAATTGATTCGAAGATCAACAGAACTGAATACAATAATTATACAAAACCCCTCTCTTTGGATGTTAAATATTGCAGTTTTCATTTTCTCAGAGAAATGAAAAATTGAAAGGACTTTTTCATTTCTTCAACACCTACCATGCCCTGTGGACTAACTCTAATTCTGCATAGTGCATCTCAATATTGGAAAAGCAGCTTATTAATAAATATCAATTCAAGAACTCTTTCAAATGTGGTTTCTTTCCATAGGATTGCGTGGGACCCACATGCAGCATGCATATGATTTTTATAAACCTGATATGGTATCTGAGTATCCTGTGGTAGATGGCAAACTGTCCATACAATGCTACCTCAGCGCGCTGGATCACTGTTACACTGTCTATCGCAAGAAAATCCGTGCTAAGTGGCAGAAAGGTGTGTCTTGCTAGAAGATGTAGTTGCAGAATCAGACTTCCTATTGACTGTAATATAAAATGACCTATGCAGAATTTAAATAAGAATGTTAGTGGGTTTTTTTCATTGTGGAATCTTCCTAATTTAGAGATGCAGTTGAGCAAAGCAGCATGAATATAAATATTACTACTAAATATTCTTGATATTTATGCATGTCATATGCATGACAATTATAGGACTCAGGAAAAAAAAAAAAGCCTTTTTTATTTACCAGTCATTAAATGTAGCAGCATTCTGCTTCTGGAGGAAACCTAACCCTGTAATAATAACATACTTTATGCTCACTGTAATGATTGCCAGTAAGCTTCTGGGACCAATTCAGAGTGCTTATTATAATCCATTCAAGCCATATATAATGCAGTGCTGGGCATGTCAGGGATCACTTGATCCAGTATCATTCTGCCTACCTCCCTGACATTAGGGAGGGCCTGCTGAAAGTTCCATTCCCATAAGAGACAAGAGGTACAGTATGTGGACCATGACACAGACATTCTTTCTAGTAGCCTCCTTTGGGCAGCCATAGTGTTTTGTTAAATTACTTATCAAGTCAATTTTAATTAATGTGTAATGAGACTTTAATTAAATCAGGATAGTTTGTGTTGCCACCCTGAATCTTGTGAGAGATGGTATCAAATTTTGTTAAATAATAAATATAAGATTTGTAAATTGTAAACTTAAACACTGTTTTAAGAGACTTAATCTCAGAATAACTGGTATATTTACATTCCAGTCCTGTGTGTGCTTAATTGGAAATAAACTCCATTTTTTTCAATGGCATACATAGGATTTGCAGTTTTAGGCAGAAAATGTCCAATGTGCCATTGTTTTTCTTGTTTTTTAATTATTTCAGAGGGGATTGACAAAGACTTCACCCTGAATGATTTTGGCTTCATAATCTTCCATTCTCCGTACTGCAAACTTGTTCAGAAATCTGTAGCTCGTCTGCTGCTGAATGACTTTCTTAATGACCCAACACCCACAAAAGAAAATGACATTTATAATGGCCTGGAAGCATTTAGGTAAAATATCTCAATACAAGAGACAGCTCAAAAGCAGGACTTGGCAAATATCACTAACACTGCTTAATGGCAATATATAATTGAGACCTACTGAGTTTTGTGTCACCTGATTTTTTTATAGTTTTTCATTGGTTAAAGATAAATTGTACTAAGCCTCCTGACAGATAATGGATTGTGTCCAACAGTCGCTATCTACTGAAGGAAGAGCATGTGCTGAAAAGTTGATGTTTTATGGATCTGCTTATAGATAAGGGATGGGTTATGGGATATCTGTTTAACCTTATAGGGGATGAAGAGTTATTACATTTGTTTATACTTCTGATGAAGTTTGGAAGTCACTTCTTTATGTATTTTCTTTTTCTTTATTTTCTTTTTATTTTTTCTCTGCACTTTTTATTCTTTCCATTCTCTTCTCTTTGTCTTAAATTTCATTTGTATTAGTTTTTATTATTAAAATTCTTAACAGAATTATATTTAAAAAATAAAGGCAGAGCATGTGCCAGCAGAAAGGATTCTCTTTGCTTTATATGCCATCCCAGCACATGCCCTAGATCTACTGTGGAGTATCCAGGGATTCTTGGTAACAGACTAGGGGCATATAAAGAGAATGTGGAGTATAAGAATGTGACAGAAAGCTGCTTTGCACAATTCAAGATGGATAACTGAATTTTAGCATAATCCTAAATGTAGTTTCTCAGAAGTACATTCCAAAGAATTCAGTGGAATTTACAGCCCAGTAAATGAATTTAGGATGTGAAGCCTTAGGATTGTTCCTTATATATCAGCATAATCCAGTGTACATAAATCCTTTGCCTCTGGATAAGTCATCTCCCAAGTCATCAGTAATCCCAAACCACCCAATCGCACATCAGGTTGGAAAAGGTCTTTGTATGTAATTTCTTCTATATATTTATCTTATTTTCAGAGATATAAAACTGGAAGACACCTACTTTGACCGAGATGTGGAAAAAGCTTTTATGAAGGCTAGTGCTGAAATCTTCAGCCAGAAAACAAAGGCTTCTTTGCTTGTTTCCAATCAGAATGGAAATATGTACACACCATCCGTCTATGGCTGTCTTGCTTCTCTGTTAGCCCAGTATGTATGATGGCAATATGGGAATATATGTGAGATATATTGAAATGATTTGACTGATTCAGGTAGCATATTCATAAAGCCCAGGTTTAATTTGATAGGAAACAGACAAACCCCCAAGATGTTAATGGTATTTTTATTGTAAGCTCCACAAATATTTTTTTCCAGAGACAGTATAGGAATTTCTGAAATTGTAAATGTTGGTCATTTATGCAGCATTAATGTACTGTTTCAAAAATACATTCCTAAAAAAGAATTGTTTTCTGATAAAATTTGTGGAGTTTTATAAAAATGGACAGGAAAATCATTGTGAGCTCCTTGAGGAGAAGCAAGAAAGAAGAAAAATGTGAAGAAAAATGCATGTACCTTTAAACAGCAAGGCTGCCTGTTTTCTTTTATCTAAATGTAGCCATTTGCTTTGATAGTGACATGCAGTAACTGTCCCTATAAAAGTGTGTAAAGAGAGGAGGAGGAAAGTGACAATGGTATATGTGAAGGAGGATACTAATAATTACAACTCAAGATGGAACAAATATAAAAATTACATCATGTACATGAAATAGAATAAAAGATAAAGAATACAGAATAAATTTAATTTTGTCCCAAGAGCAATTGGGAAAATGAGGAAAAAGGGAAAATACTAAGTTTCCTAAATTTCATTTAATAGGAAAAATTGCCTGGAACAAGCCAATTAGATTTTCTAGATAAATCTTGCCTCCCAT